GTGTGTGTGTGTGTGTGTGTGTGTGTGTGTGTGTGTGTGTGTGTGTGTGTGTGATATGTGTGTGTTGCACATGTGTATGCAGGAATGTGAGCCTCTGTATATGCATGTGGAGGTCAGAGGTGAATCTGGATGCCCTGAATAGCTCTCCAACCTTATTCCCTTGAGGTAGTGTCTATCACTGAAGCTGGTGATAGACCTTTGTCTAGGGTGGCAGGCAGCGAGCCCCAGGGACTTTCCTTTTTCCACCTTCACCCCTCTCTTGCTGTGGTTACAGGCACATATAGCTACACCTGCTTTTGCTAAGAGTTCTGGGGAGCTGTCCATATGAGTATAGAGCAAGTTCTCTGACCCACTGAGCCATCTCTCCAAGCCTTAAAAAACCCAAATGCTCAGCCCTAAAAACATATATACACGTAACACTACACGACGTACACACATATACATACGTGTATATGTATATTAATGAAAAAAGAGGCCATGAATTTTAAAGAGAACAAGGAAGGATATATGGGAGAGTATGAAGGGAGGAAGGAGAAAACAGAAGTATAATTATACTATAATTTAAATTTATTTACTTGTGTGTTTGTTTTTGAGTTTTTGAGACAGGGTTTCTTTGTGTACTAGAACTTGCTATATAGATCAGGCCAGCCTCAAACTCAGAAATCCCCCTGCCTCTGCCTCCCTAGTGCTGTGATTAAAAGCCTGTGCCACCACACCAGGCAAGAAATAGTTGGGGTTTTTTATTTTATTTTGTTTTGTTTTAATGTACTTCTGTTGTGATATATAAACCTAGTAACGGGCCACTGGTTTTAGGCGGATGAGGGGAAAAGAGGCATGGAAGCAAAAACTAAATTATAATCCTAACAGTATATTGCACACAAAAGCTGGACCATGAAGGCTCCCTTAGCCATCTTCACTCAAGTAGCCATGTTGTTCAATGACATCAGTGCTTCGCCACTAAAATAAGACATGTAACTAGGTATAACCAACACAGTGGGCCAGACCTGTCCTCCTTAGAAGCTCCAGGACCTCATCATGGTTCAGTGTTTCCCCAGGAGGCTCAAAGTGTTGTTATCCAGATAAAAAGTGGTAACTCATGGATAGAGAAAACAGCTTCCAGATACAAAGAGGTGCCCATCCATGTTACTTCCAGCACCGCAGACAACCTGATCCTTAGAAAGATGTGCAAGCGGGTTTTGTAAGATGCTGGTTGATAAGGGGAAGATGCTGGGAAGGATGCTCACTGATGCCTCTGAAAATGGGACCAAATGGCACAAGAAGTCTGCATTTTGCGTTCTCTATACTCCTTTTCACCCCATCTCATGTTTATGATGTATTCCTCTAAAAGAGGCAGCCCAAGCCCCAGGCCTCCAGGGTTCAAGTTTGCAACTCTTTCTGCTGTGCCATATTCCCAGCAGTCCAGCAGGACTGCCCATCTGACTCACAGATCTCCCAGCTCAGGGCTGATGGTGTCAGCCGTCACTCATCTAGAAGGACTGACTAAACGCCAGGAGCCAGAATCTGTGATCCTCTCCTGCATCTAATGTCATACTCAGCTTGTTCATACTGACAGGGTGGAGCTGTTCCTGAAGAACTCTACGTGCTCCAAGCATCAGAATCTGCAGCTTGTAGTGAGCACCCAGAGCCAGCAGAAGCATCTCGGCATAGTTATGCCCATGCCTAAGTCTTAGACCTGCCAAACTAGGAGACTTGAGCCAAGCTCTCCTGACTCAAAGCTTACAGCAGGAGATAACTACAATCTCCACTAATTTAAACTGTTATTTGAGCAGTGATTCTGAAATATTGGAATGAGATGAGATGGAAATTCCGAAACCATACATAACATAAATGTACACACTGAGCTTACCGCTGATGTTAAGCAACGACAAAATGTTGTCCTGGTGATCAAGAAGGCGCTTGACTTCAGTAATATCCCATTCCGGCAATCCTTCTGTGGGTGCTTGCAGCCTGAAAATTACTAAAAGGCAGCTGTTTTACTAAAATGTTCAAAGAACAAAAAGTACCTTTCTACTCAAAAAGCATTCTGTGCAAAACATATGTCACACTGAAAAGAATCTCCAAAAAGAACCCAATTATGACAGCTGAGACCATTTCTTTCAAATGCATGAGATGCTTAAAGTATGTACCAAACCCTAGTTGGGGTTTCTTTCATCTTGCCTCCTTTACTGACTTCCAAAACGCAGTCCCAAGCCCTGCTGCCTCTGCTTTCACCACCACACATTAGGAACACCACTCCACTCCTGCCGAGGCCAGTGAGCGGCCACTCCCCTAAACCATTTTCACTATCAATTCTCTCTACTCATGTGTCCAGGCCAGTAAGCATTGCTACAAAATCAGCTATAGATTCCTGGCCTTCAACTTAGCAAAGGCTTCAGCTGGAAAAAAAAATTAACCAAACAACTTTTTGGTTTTTTGGCATATACTATTAAATAATAAATTCTCTGAGAATAAAGCTTTTAATTTCTTGACTATAGATGCCGAAAGTGTTCCTTGATTTATTATCTGACTTCAAGAAGTAGTTTTATTTAAGCCATAAATTCTAACTGTAATCAACACATAAAACCTAAAATCAAATCAAATCAAGGCTCTATCAACCAGCGTTTACAAACCATCTGTGACATTCTAGGACTTCCAGCTACCAAATGTGATCAGGCCCAGTTACTGCCGCCAAATGCTCAGAGTCCACAGTGGACACTTGCTCTGCTGGGCCACAGGAGCCAGTGCTGTGGGTGCTTGGACAGGCAGGCCTCATCTAAAAAGTGGCACGGTTGCACATCCTTCCCGGGTGCTGATAATCAACTATCAAAGTCTCTCTTTTCCTCAAATTCCTCTCTGGAAAATAGGTCATGACACATTTCTTTCTGTATCTCTGACAATGTCTTGCCACCTGCCAAAGAATGTGCAAGATTATTAAATTCTCATAGCCTTTCATGTTCAAAGTGTGGCTGTCAGAAAGCCTCTCAGCTAGCACCACAGAGAACCTTTCGTGATGGGGAGAAACTCTACTGCTAAATGATTTTATAATGGGCAATATACTGTTTAATCAAGTTCATAGAAGACATTAATAATGTACTATGTTGACAAGAAGAAGAAATTTGACCTAACACTTTGAAAATGTTTACCCTGTATCATTTTCAACAACCCCAGAAAGGCCAGAGCTAGGACAGTGGCAGACATCTCTGAAATAAAACTGCTTTTGTCTCTCTCTCACACTAACATACATATATTCATGCAGCTATATGTATACAAACATAATGAAAAAATGTATGTATACACTCACTCAGTTCTTTGCCGACTGCTGCTACGACACAGTTCCCAGGGATTTCAACCAAAGCACTGATCCCTTCAGAAAAAAAATGTAAAACAAGGAAATCATTTTCCTTCATGGGTTACATCAAAAATAAAGCTTTCTCAATTTTGTATTAGTCACTCCCCATAAAACATATTCAAAGCCTACTGTATAAACATTTCCTTTCTTTCTTACACATGGAAACTGAGTAAGTTTCTAGTATCTCTGGAAGAGTTTGCGATACATTAGTAGGTTCTGAATATCGCTCCTACGGTGGTAACGTGGTGTATTCAGCCATTCCCATATATTTACTCACCATCAGCCATTTTTGATGGCTGGTTTAAGGAGACATGGAACTTGGATTTTCCCTCAATGTAAATGTTAAGATTAGGCATGCTCCCTGGCACTAAGTGAGCTAATAGGGTAATACAAAAGACAGATCTGGCCTCAATCCTGTTTGCTGACACTGCTAAACTCCTTTAAATCTCTGCAGACACCGTCTGTGTTCTAATGGAATGACCAGTGTCTGTACAGTCAGTGGCAGCGATGACAGGAGGAAAGGTTGGTACTTCCAGCCTTACCGCTCAACCTCCAAGAACAGAGGGTCACAAGGTAATGTTGGCCACTAGAATAAATGGTTTAATTAACCATATCTACATAATAAAGGCTCCATTAAAAGCCAGGACAGGATTTAGACAGAGTCAGCAAAGCTGACATAAGACAGTTCCTGCAGGGTGCACACTTAGGGAATGCACAGGGCTCTGTGCCCCTCCTCCCACCTTGCCCTTTATAGGTCTTCTTCGGTACTCCTGTAACAGAATGTAAGTGGGTAAATGTGATTCCCTTAGTTCTAAGAGTCACTCTAGCAAGCTGAATCCTGATTTATAACCAGGAGGTCAAACCTAAAAACAACCAAACTAAATCAAAAACAAATCAAAAAGCGGGCACATAAATGGAATGATGGCATAGGAAACTACCTTGCCAGCTGAGCTTTTAGCCTGTGACACTAGACACTAGTCCAGGCCGACAGTGTCGGCCTGAGCAGACTGGAGGATACCCAGCTGCTTGTTGCTCTTAGAACCCTGACTATCAGAGCATCTGGGTAAGAACACAGAAGGAAGTGATCTGGTCAACAGCTACACAAGCGTCCTTCAAACAGCACATCTACAGCTAATTAGTGCATTTCCAAACGACTTACATTATCCACATGACTTTAAACCACCACACTTCATTGATCTGCATAACGTTTAGTAGGTAGGGTTTGATTGGTGCTGCTGTGACTTTCAAAAGTCAGGGTCTTGCAATGGTGTCTAGAATGGCCTACCATAGTCCTGTGTCAGCCTCCTGAGTAGCTGGATTGCCGCACATAACCCTACCCTTGGCCTTCAGCACAGAGTGGGGGGATCTTTTCATAGCTGAATCATAAAAGGGTTTCAGACAAACCAAACCTTCAAGCATTAAGGTGACTTACTGGACCACATTAACAAGAAATTGTCTAAGGAAGCTGATCTTTCTACTTCGCTATTATATATATATAATTTCTAACATGTGCACAATGGATGTCTGCATTACTTCCTTTCCTTCCTTCCTGTCAAAGACAAGCAGCACCGTTGCAATGCCAAGAGCATGTCCGCCCTAACATCTCCTCCGCTTGGGCATACTTCACAAGCAGATCTGCGCCCGCATGGAAGAGATGGAAGAAAGGTGAAAGAGCACAAGAGAAGGACTTGGAAGAGGGAGGAGGATGGTTTGGTTGGTTGGTTGGTTGGTTGGTTGGTTGGTTGGTTGGTTGGTTGGTTTCTGAGGTGGGATGTCTCACTCATAGCTCAGGATGGCCTCAAACTTGTGAAAATCTTTCATCTTCAAGAAAAATTTTACTAGGGGCCAGGGAGAGTGCTCATTGGAAAAAGATGTCTGCCACCAAGCCCGAGGACACAAGGATTCTCACTAGTTGTCCTCTGACCTTCATGCATGTGTCAGGGCCTCACACACACATGTGTGTGTGCACACACACTCGTGTGTGTACATACATATAAAGATACATAAAACTGCAGACTATTAAGTGATCACGGTGCTGCTAGCCCATGCCTGGGCATGGCACATACTGTAATTAAAGGTTAACCTGTACATATATGCGTCCATGTTCACTGGGAGACTACTTACAATAGGGCGGTGAGGGATCAGCCTGCACGCTCACCACCGGATGAACGGATGAAGACAGTGGGATGTGCACACACAGAGACGATGCACTTCCACACAGTAGAATCTTACCAACCATAACGAGCAAAACCCGAGTATTTTCAAGAAAATAGTTGAAATTGAAGGCCATCATCTTAGGCAAAAGAAGCCAGATGTGAGAAGACAATGTCGCAAGTTTTCTCTCGTATATGGAAGAAGGGCGACTTCTGAGGGGAAGACTAGCCCCACAAGTGAGGGTGACAGGATGGGCGGAGCTCATCCAAACACACGGTATCATGTATGAGATACACTGAAATATGAGATTTATACCAACACTTGGTATAAAGAAAATACATATGAATGTGAAAGTTATTTGTCACATAAAAATACTAATCAAATATCTAATCCATCCTCAGAGCAACCAAAAGAAATCCTACACCGACCTTTCAATTGCGCCAGGTCTCTAAAGATTCAACCATGTCTTTCACAGGCTTCAACTGGCTTCCATAATTACCTTGATTAGTTTCTTTACCTGTGTCAGAAAGGTAGTTGCTCTTACACAGCAGATCTAATTTTCGGTTCCACACACCTAAGTCATTACCACCGGAGAGCCAGACGTCTAGTTTCTGAAGAACAGTAAAGCACTGCAAAATGATTTGAAATGTATTCAGTTTAGAAATTCTAGCCTTCATGTCCCCAAGGTCTTTGAAGTCCCTCTGTTTGATAGGCTGTTTTTCTTCTTTCTGTTTATGAGCTCTTTAAGGGACTACTGTCTCACAGACTCTGGAGAAGATTCCTAAGGCAGTCGCAGAAGATGCTGGGAATTACCTGTTCCCAACACTAACACAGTTGGCACAGCAAGAAGCTGAGGCCTGTGAGCAATATAGAGCAATACATACCAAGCCACGGTGTGGGCCTGAGGGCAGCAGGTTCTCAGCCTAGACAAGCCTTCTGGTGTAAGACCCTGCACCACTCAGCTGGAGGCTCTCTATCCCTGACTGGACGTTTAGCACTGCTTCAAGCCACCGAGCTGTCGGATCACTTGTGAATCACTAACAGATAACTCCCCCAGAGCCCTTAAAGCTTTTAAAATAAAATGGAAAATAGAACTGGTTTTTAATTTTTCAGTTAATTCTCAATAATTGTGTTTGATAGACTTAAGTGTTTCCACGGTGTGGAATCCTTTACTGTACATGGTAGCTTAGGGCCCCTTTCTTTCAGAGTTGTGTCCTCACAAGTGAATCGGGTGAGTGAGAACACAGACAAAGACTGAATGAGACAGAAGGGAGGTCTGCTGGTCTTACCTGGGCTCAGGATGACGCTACTTTCAAATCAGATAAAAGAAAAAGCTGGAAGCATTCAAATGAAGTTTCTATCTCAAGAGCCTACCTGTCTCGCCCCTGGGGTTCTACAGGAGCCTTTATTCTGCTTATCGCCAAGCACTAGTCTACTGTGTGGATACGTAGGCTTGTTTCTCCATTCACTACTGATGGCTACTTAGGCTATTTCTATTTTTTGACTAGCATGAACACTGGGGCTCTGACATTCACTACCCATGCATGTGTGTGACATGTTTTCAATTGGGGTAGGACTATACACAGGCGGCTATTAACAATTTACGGAATGGCCCAACTGTTTGAAGGCCACTGTAGTGTTTTATAAGCAATGCATAAACTACAGTATGACTTTTCCATGTATTTATTAACACTCCAGCCCTATCCGTAGGACATTAGTGGTGCTGGTGTATACGAAATAGTTTCCTATTGTGGGTTTGAGCCTCTCACTAATGATGATGAACTTTTTCTCATACATTTAATTGCTCATTTGGAGAAATTTCTTTCAAATTATTCTTAATTGTGCTTCTTTTCTTTTTATTAATAGTTATTTGCACATCTTAATATGCTTAATAAATGATTTATATATATTTCCCCTATTCTTTGGATTGTATTTTCAATTTGTCAATGGTATTCTTTGAAGAACAAAAATTTAATGGGGCCTAATTTATCACTTATTACCGATTAAATCTATTCCTTTTACATGCACATGTTCAGATGGCTTTGCTTTCTTCCCCTTACAACAGAGTCTCACTGTGTCGCCCAGGCTGACATTGAACTCATGGATTCAAATGATTCTCCTGTATCGGCCTCCTGTAACAGGAAGTCCATATATGCACACCATATCTGGACTCAGATATGGTGAAAGGGTGTTCTTTCTTCCACTGAAAAGTGTTGGCTCCCTTGCAAATCAACTGTCTATACGTGTGAGATTTTATTTGTGGACCTTCAATTCTATTCCATTGATCTGTTTCTACATCACTATGCCAGTAATGCGCTGTCCTAATACTGTATCTTTACGCAAATTTTAGAATTAGGAATTGTCTCACATCTTTGTGCTTTCTTTCCAGAAATGTTTTGGCTATTCTGGATCCTTTACACTTCAAGTTTCAGGCTAGTTTGCTCCTTTCTGAAACAAAAACACAGATTTAATTTTATGATAGAGACTGTAGGTCATTTTGAGTAATGTTTAAATCTTAATATTAAATCTAACCCATGAATATATGATGAGAATCAGTTACCAATTTTTTCTAGATTTATTTGTATGAATATTTTGCCTACAAGTATGTATACATGCCATTTGCATGCTTGGTACCCACGGGAGCTTCTAGTCCCCTGGAACTGGAATTGCAAATGATTGTGTAAAGTAGCATGAGGGTACTGGGAATCGAACTCAGGTCCTCTGCAAGAACAATAAGTGCTCTTAACTGCCCAGCCATCTCTTCCAGCCCCTAGTTTTTAAATTTATTGACTTATTCTTAAATTTTATTGAACAGTGTTTTAAATATTTTAATATATACATCCCCTACTTTAAAAAAAAACTTATATCTACGTATTTTATTCTTTTGGATATAACTGTGAATAGAATTTTCTCCATTTGATTTTAGAGAATTACAATTGATTTTTTTCTATTATCAATCATGTTACCCTGAAAGCTTGCTAAGTTAATCTATTAGCCTTAACAGTTTTGTGTGGCTTTATGATTTTTCACATATAGGATCATCTCACATATAAATACAGAAAGTTTTAGTTGTTCTTTCTCATAAAAGAAAAGCATAAAACATTCATTCATTTCTTTTTATTGTGTAATTTTGCTGTCGAGAGCCTTCAGTGCAAGCTAAACAGGTGAGTGCTGAGAGCAAGCATTCCTATTTTACTCCTGACATTATGGAGAAAGTACTCAGTCTGCAGCTTTGGTATTTGGTCACTGGCTTTTCATAAAGGACGTCCTGGGCCATCTATGAGGGTACAGGATCTGTAAAGAGTGACTATGCTGGAGCTGGCTGGATGCCTTCCTGCCTCTACTGACATGGATCATGTGGCTGCTGCGGACTATTGCTCTACTCACCGACTTTCTGGTAGTCAGCTTCATCCACGTTCCTGGGCTCACCCTCACTTGGCCAAGCACTCCGCTTTTCTTCATAAGACACTACCACACTTCCAACACCCACTTATAAAAACTAATCTGTAGTTTGGATTTCTTTCCATAAGCCCCTATCTATATGTCTCATTATTTCCCTTGCAGGGCGTCCTTGAAGTAAAAACTCTGAGTTGATGCATATAATCACTTTTTAGAGCTTTCATAGTACCAAACTACCTTCTAAGAAAAGTATATCTATCTCAAAACAAATAGAAAAAAAGAAGCCAATTTAATATAATTCCGTGTTAACTCCAATCTTCATTTTAAAACTTTACTAGGTCAAATAATAACTAAGAGTTCTAGATCTGTATTGCTCTAAAAAGTCACTTAAGAAAACCCGAACCACTAAACTATAGTGAACCGTGTTTTGTTCGGTTTTGTTTTTTTGTAAATAGTTTCTTGTGAAACAAAAGTACAACAGGAGCAAGCAAATACAAAAACCTCTTTTGAAAGTATTTTTACCACATAGTCACAAGATCCATTTTAATCCAACAAGATATTCTTACCAGTGTAAGAAGACCCCAAATGTACCATTATTTTATTCTTCCATGTCCCTTCAACACTTGAAAACTAATGGTTTTAGCTTTTCCGATAGTAAGAAGTACCTTCAAAGGAGTGCGTGCGGCATTTGTTCAGATCACGTACGATACAGTGAGTGTTTTAGTGTCTCCCGGATACCCCACCGCTAAATTAGCTCTAAGAACACCGTGCCCGGCACCTCCTTCCACAGGAGCTTTAGGAAGCTGGCATTACAGAACAGCACAGCACCACAATAGAGACAACTGCTAGAGACGCTACATGGGAAATAATGAGCCAGCCTACCACAAGTAAGTACACAGCAAAAGAGGGATGGCACTGTCCCCAAAGCTATGGAGGAGACGCTCTTCCCAAACTGGCCAGCAGCGGAAGAACGTGCTAGCTTCCCCAGAACACACGAGCTCCTTTCTCTTGTAGGAATCACAAGGAAGCAGGACTTAGCTGCATTTGTTTCTCCCATGTATGGCAGCATTCCTGCCATCAAAGTCCCAATATTACCTGTTTATAAAAAGATGGAATAAATGGAATTGGCATATTATTGGTTTTGGATATAAGAAACCAACATGTCCTCATGGCCTTAGAAAAGGTCAAGGCACGAACACCTCCCTATCTTTTGGCCAAAGCATAGAGACAGCACAGCTCCCCCTACAGCTCTGCGAGTGCTGGCTCCTCTATCAGGGTCTGCTGTAGCCCACCAGGCCCCACCTTGTCACTCAGTTCTCAGTGAAACATTCTCATACATATGTTCCCAAAAATCTAGTCTTAAAAACCAAATGGCTGTAGACATATATGAAAGCAATACTTCATAAAACTTGAAGAAGTAACTTCATCTACTTTATTAAACCGTTTGACAACAACAAAAACATTGCCATAAAAAGCTAGCTTGCTTAAGACTTTACCTTCACGGTAGACTGCAGGCAGGGGACTCTCTGGATCTGTCTGCCGGTGTCACAGTCCCAGACTTACACTTACGTTAAGAAACAATTTCCAAATGGAATTTTAAAACTTTAGTTACGAGGTAACATTTCTAATTAACAATTAAGTCACAGGTATAAGCAGTCAGAAAAGCATTAAGCAAAGTCTAAGTCAGCAGTGTGTACACTGCAAGTCCTGTCCTCAGGAGCAGGTCTGTGAGCTACAACTTCACCGGAGGCCATCTGAAGGCGCCCAGCAAGGCCTGCTCTGCACTCGTGAGCTCGTGGGCCTGGCAGCACTCCTGCTCAAGTGTACGGCGGGAACAGTTTGCCACGATATAGCAAACATGTACATGTTTTATACTAAACATTTCCCAAAGGTCCCACAGCTTATACAGTGGACACGCATGACTACCTGTGCCTACGTGTAACTACGTGTTACTGTGTCAATGAAAACAGCGGAAAGGCCTCTCGCCACAGGGTGAGGGTTAGTTGACTGAAGGAACATGATGGTCTTTATAAACTTTGAACACAATTCTCTGTGGTGTTCATCTTCATATCACATACATGTAGATACCATATAATATACTTATAAATAATATAAATGTATGGCAAATGCATTTTATATCTTGTCTGATACATATTTTATATTAAAAACGTAAAGTTAATTTCATAATCTAGTTAATTGCATTTGAATTTTTTATTAATTCTAGTTTATTCTTCAAATGCAGTTAATAAAAAAAAAAAGACATCTGTACATTCAAACGTTCAGGTCACACTAAACAAACGCCTCGGTCTTAAGCACGTTCTCTCCCTAAGCAGAAAATGCTTCCTGGCCTTCAGTCTCCCAGTTCTGACACTACCCCATAGACTTTCCACTCATCCCACTATTTGAAAGCTTAGTGCTGGGTTCTAAGCAACGTTGGTTCTTAAGACCTTGACTTGACAAAAACAAACACAAAAATCTACCACCAATGTTTACTTCAGAAAGTTAATTAACAGTGAAAGTCCAAGGAGAGCAAATTGAGAACATCCCTAACATGAATATCAAAGTTCTCTGGGACTTTAAAATCAAAGTGATTGAGTAACGTGAACAGCCGCATGGGCCATGCCACACGTGGTGTGTGTAAGTTCCCCAGCATCTTACCTCTGTACTACGGATAAAATGACAAGAGCCTGAATCCACAAGATGATGTTTTCCTCACACAAGCAGCAGTAACAGGGCTACTGGTCTAAATATCTGACCAGATCCCTCGCAAGCACACAGGGGTCACCCACTTCAAGGGTTTCCTGAGATGTTCTCCCTGCACACATTTACCCAGAGACTGTTCCAGCTGCTGAACTCATTCAAAGTGGGACATCGAGTCAGGCCTGGGTCTAGAGGCGTCTAAAAGCATTCCTCCTTTGGGCTTGCTTCTGATCTTCACAGTCTGCGAGCAGACTTGTCAGCCACGTGACAGTGAAGCAGGACAATGGAGGCTGCAGTCGCCACAGCACTTGGCCACGGGCTCCACAATGCAACCTTCGTAATGACGTTGTTCTGTTCACTGTTTATCAGGAGGGTGTGGCGCACAGTTTCAGAACGTGGGCGGACAGCACGTGGGCTGCTGGCCACTTCCACCTTAATGGCATGTACCTTGGGCGACTTGCTATCTCTACCTTTTCATCTGTGACAATGACGAAGTCTTACCTCATAGGGCCATTTTCAAGGGTAGATAAGTCAATAAACACGTAAGACACAACTATCCCTAGCACACACAAGCGCTTTATAAAACATTACCATTTCTGTCATATGGAAAAGTCTAACTGGAAAGTACGGGAAAGCAAAAAGTAACTTACTTTAAAAAAAAATACTGTTTTAGAATACCAAGTTTTTAAAACTGGGCAGAGGATAGTGCACTTTTGTGCCGACTGACTCAGCAGCAACAAAGGTTCTTGTGGGGTAGGGGTGAGGCAGAGGGAATTAAGTGCATTTTGCCATACATGAGGGAGAAATAAGTTATTCCCCAGTCTAACTCATCCTGAGCTCCCTAATTGAGAGAGCGTTTTAAGGCCATGTGCCTCCATCCCTCCCTCTTGCACAACTGGATGCTCTAGAGAGGGCCGCCTCAGCCACTACTTCCAATCACCGGACACTTCAGGAAGTGTCTCAGAAGAAGATGGGAAAACCACCCTGGTCAGCAGAGCACACAGGCCTGCACAGCTGGGTCCCAGGCTAAGGATATGCGAACAGTCCGGTCGGCAGAGGCTGTCAAGATAAGCTGCCTACTCCCCTCACAAGAGTCTAGGGAAGGAAATGCAGTGACAGCCGTTATCTTCTGCGTGTGTCCTCTGAGTTCCAGAAGTTTTTCTCCTGTCTGAAATACAAGAAAGAATGTCAAGAAGCTAACACTTTCCAACTTAAATAACATTAAGACTATGTAGAAAATAAACATACATGCCATTTAAAATTATGTTTGGAATTTAAAATTGTTTAAGCAATCAAATAGATATAATCTAAACAAGTAAAAGAAACAGCTGTGGATAGTTTTTCTATTTTCTAGTCAGTATGTTGTTTTAGTATATTTCTCATAGTCGGTTTAAAGAAATAATCTCTCCTGTAGCTTTTAGGACCATGTAAGCTCTGCAACTTGCAGAAGTTTACTCTGGAGAAAGAAAACAGGGAGTCTATGGCGCATGTGCACAGTTTAACTTCTTTATAGAAGAAACAAAATCGCAGTGCTCTCCAGGCGTGCTTAAGCCAGCAGCTATTCCACCCGCTCAATATCGTCTTCCATCAGTTCCCCCCCCCCCCACCTCCTTTCAGATCTTCCCAGGGCTGCAGGAGCTCATGATCGTGTTTACGGCACAGCTGGCCCTCTGCATCCAGAGGTTTTAGAAGCATGGGTTCAACTTATTTCACTTTTTGTTTATTTAGAAACAGTAATATAGCCCAGGCTCGCCTCAAGTTTATTATGAAGCTAAGGCTAGCCTGGATCTCCTGAGCCGCCTCATTACAGCTGTGTACCAAGATGACTGGCCTGACTCAACTATTCTCAGACTAAAAGTACATTGTTTTCAGTATGTGTGGTGGTATATATCTGTAATCCCAGACCTCAATATGCCCAAGCAAGAAGAATAAAAGTTCAAGGCCAACCTGGGCCAGACCATGTCTCAGTCAATCAAAAGAGAACAAATTGTACTGAACATGGAAAGACTTGACTGGTCATTATTTCCTCCTATATTTGCATATGATATGTACGCTACAGGTAATTTGAAGTACATGGGAGGATGTGAGGAGAGTATGTACAAAATTTCACATGGGCACTTGAGCCCGCAGCGTCGGGGGGAGGAGGGCTGGAACCACCTCTATGGACACTTTGATGTTAAAGGCTGGCCCTTTAAGCAAGACTGCAGAAAAATGAGGACTGACAGTGAGAAGATAACTAGATTGAGAAAACAAGGAAGAAAAAATAAAAATACAGCAACCTGTAGAACAAAGACCACAAGGAGAAGCCCCAGAAGACAGCACCCCCCCCCTCCTTACACAGTTACACAGATTAGGTCAAGCATGACAAGAATTTTTAGTATGCTATCATACAAGGTGGAATGAAAAACTGGACCATCTTACAAAAACTAACAATTCTTTTTTGATGTCACTGCATAGTAGATGACTACCCAAAGTTTGTTCAGTAAGATTTAAACTCTCCGAGGCTGGAGTGGCTGTTGCTGCTGTTGCCAAACACCCAGGTCAGGGGGGTCACTGTTCCTGTGACTCCAGCTCCCGGATCCTAGACCTCTTCTGGCCACACACACACACACACACACACACACACACACTTAAAATATTATGAAACATTAGTCCCTGTTGCAAATGAGTGTCTTTAACCCTTCTCACATATTAGCCAATCCCACATGATAATAATATGGCAGCATACTGAGTACCACACAGTATTAATGAATGAGTATTCAACCATCCTGTCATCTATTCATTACAATCCACATTTAATTGGTACATACCTGGGCATTCCACACAACTATAAGTCCATCATCACCAGCAGATGCAAATCTGGTTTGAGAAAAGAAGCCATGAAAAAAAATTTAAGTGGTGAGATTTTTTAATGTAATGTTTTATTAATAAAATTATATTTAAAATAAATATTAATATTTGATTTCATATAACAGGAATGTATTAATATAGTAACTATAACATATAGATTAAACTTAATATGAATTTTAAGATCTGTGATCATATCAATATATTTGTATTGGTTTAATATGCTGGTCAAATATTAACAAGCTGATAATATATTTATATTACTATTAATAGTGACTAACCATTGGATAAGTTATTCTCTCTGTGTCAAGCTCTGTGCTAACTTTTTTTTTTAACTATCAGATAACGCATTAGGTCTCATTATAGCATTTACAAACAAAATTTGTTTGTGTTGATTTTCCTCCAACCCCAGGAGTCTGCTTTCTGCTTCCACGTCACATGTGTTCTGCTGTCCTCCCATTTCCTCCACATTCTTTTCCCCTGTGGTCCCTTTCTAGCCTCCTAGCCCACACTAGTGCTCACACCCACATGACTTAAACACTAAAGGCTTGACTCCATCTGAACAAGAACACACACACTTGTCCTCTGAGCCTGGGTCACAGGGCTTGACACAATACATTCCAGGCCCACCAATTTTCCCAGAAACTTGTAAATATTTTCTTTACAGCTGAATTAAATTCCATTGTATGCAAATACAACACTTTTCTTATCCATTCATATGTGATGAACATGGGAGATGATTCCATCCCCTGACATTCTGAGTAACTCACCAATAAACGTGGATGGGCATACCTGTCTGTGACAGATACCGAGTCCTCTGAGAAAGCAGGCTCGACAGTGGTCCGACTTTTAGTTTTTGGATAAACTTCCACACTCCTAGCAGTGAATACGGGTTCCTTTCCTACACCTCCTTGCAAGCATGTCTTGTCGCCTGTTTTTAATAATGCACATTCTGACTAAGGTAAGATAAAATCTCAAAGCAGTCAGAGTGTGTACGAGCGAGCGCCTGTGTGTGCACCTGTGCCAGAGTACTACATGCTCATAAGTGTACTTTTAAGCTCGCTGGGTATGTTCTTAATTATACACATACACAGCCAGATCAGCAAGAGACTTCAATCCAAGTCCTGATGCTGGTGAACAAGTAATCTTACCCATAATGCCATCTCCCAGTCCCTCAAAGCAGTTTAATTTCTATTTCCTTTATGGCTAAGGCTATGGACACTGACTTCCTTTTTTCAAATTCTATGTATGTATTGTAACTTAAGTGTGTGCACACATGCATTCCGAAGCCAAAGGCGCATGTCTGGTGTCTTCTATTTCTCTCCCTTATCTTTTGAGACAAGATGTTTCATGAAATCCAGAGCTCATCAACTGTCAGCCTAAGAGACCAGCAAGCTCTGAGGATCTGCTTGCCCCCACCCTCCTAGCGCCTGGGGTAAAGATGCACTTGACCTTCTAGACTTTTGGGTGGGTGCTGGGCATTTCAACTGCTGTAAGGAACTTTTTAATCTCACATATTCCCAGCTATTATTTTCTGGACTGTTTCCTGTGCTGTTGGAGTCATATTCACAAAGTCCTAACATACCAGCATCTTGAAGTACATTCCATTTCAGCATAGCAGATATATATTTTAAATACCTCTTTATACAGAGTAAGAGATAGGGATCTGATGTCATCTTTCCACGGTTGATATTCAGTTTTGTTAGAACAACTTGTTGAATAGGCCTGTCCCTTATCCTCTGAATATACTCTGCCAAACATTACGTGGTTATACCTACATGGATTTATTTGGAATTCTCTATTCTGTTCCACTGATTTACATGTCTGGTTTTATGCTACTACAATGTTGTCTATGTCATCATGGCTCTGTCATATAATTTGAGGTCAAGAATTGTCATACATTAAGAACCATGAAATCTTATTAGTGATATTTTCCCTTACACTAACAAACATTAAGTTCTGCAAACTCATTTAAGAAATGTTTATAAGCTATCTTGTAAATTCCATGCATGCCAGGCACTCAGGGTCCAAAGACAAAGCACTTCCAGGGTTACAAAGAAGAAACTGCTAAAATGTAAAAATAAGAAAGATACAGAAATGACCTTTAGTCTCCCCACTGTCTAAAACTCTGTGATGTAAATCAATCTAGGTCAAAAACAATGAAACCAAGTTGATAGGAAGTAATAGTCTAGGGATGGAATTCCATTTTGTTAATTTCTCTGTAAAGGCATTTTAACTCTGTCTTTAAAGTTAAAACCTCTTTTGCTTATTTTGGCTCTTTGATCTTTCTTCATATAATCTGGGTGAGGTATGTAGACTCGTGGTGGTTTTTTCCAGTGAAGGTATTGAAGTGCAGAGTGGTAAGAGCTTGACTGGAGCCAGGAAAAGAAAGCTGCAATAAACATGACAAGAACTTATCTCCTCTTCACCCTCACACCCTCTACTCTTAGGAGCAGGTTCTACATTACACAGAGTAAAACATTCTACACATAGTGAAGTAGAAGTTTCTGGGTTGTTTGAAGACTGAGTTTTGTCATGTGATATTTTGCCCAGGTTGGTGTATGAGAGGGCACATGATATTTTGCTGTGACCCCTTACATGTAAGGGGCATGACTTTGACTAGCTGAGAACATCTGTGGAGATGGGATAGAGAGAGGCCCACTCGGTGTTTCAGAGCTTTTTGGATTGACATTGCTGGGCTCATCTTCATGCTTCCACATTTGACTTTGCAGAGAAAGATGTTCCAGAGAACTTCTGGCGCAGTCCAACTGAGTCTTGTGGCTTTTGCTGATTTGTCCCTATCTTCTGAATCCTGTTGCTGCTTGGTGTTGGCCTTCAGACTGGATTGCTGGCATCCTGACGACTGAGTTTGGTAATCCCCTAAAGACCCATTGACCCCAATCAGCAGGAAGTAGATAAAATAGGTCTACAACCCTTTTCCCTACTAATCTCCTAACCTAAGGTTGCAGAAGGTTGGAAGGGAAGTAAAGGGGCTTAAGAACCCTAAATAAAGTAGGTTTGGTAAAATCTGAGCCTACACATAAGTTCTATCAAGAAGATAATTTTCAAAGTATTATTCATCATAGTGACTGTATTATAAAATCAAGCAAGCCCCATTTTTAAGCAGGCACCAACACAGTGTAAGCTGTCAACTTGGTATTAATAATGAAGCATACCAGTCTGTAATAAACGCCAGTAATTCAGAATTATAGCTAAGTAGTCTTTATACTATTATTCCCATCTAGTTGAATTCAGGCTTTTTTAATAAGAGACAAAAGAAAGCCAACTGATTTACATATAACTCCTATATTAGCAACCATTAATAAATGCTGCCCCACTAACACCTTGTCATTTATTCCATCTGTGGTAAATCCCTACAAGATCAGTAGTGGATTTCATAAGCCTCTGAGTCGTCGGTAGACAGTGTCGGCGGAGAGCATCAGTAGGAGAGGAGTTAAGAACCAAGCACGCACAGAGTGACTGTCCCACAGGAAGGCCTCCGCTACTGGATTTGCACTACCTGAGAAGCACAGAGTCACACTTCCCTCTCCCAAGGCTTTCTTCAAGGCTCCACACTGAGCTTTGGGTTTAAACAGCCACGACTCAGCTTCAGTCTCAGCTTCCCAGGCTCAGGGAATCCCACACTCAGTTCTCATTTCAACACCCTCATCAGATCTCCCATGGTAAGAGGTAGGAGACCAAATATAGTCAGAGTCCAAATAAGTTTTAATGAAACACTACACATTTTAATAGAAAGAAGACTATTTAAGACTATTTAAGACTCCTTAGTTAATAAGCTAGAAGCATATAACAGTTAATGACAATCCATATACACTGTTTATATTCATTTCAAAACGTAAGTGATTTACAAACTCTGGTGAGTACATGGAAACCCCTTGTCCTAGCTCACGTATATACCCGCAGAACTAACTGCACTCGGTAGTCTAAAAAAATAGCCCACCAAGTCATGGGAGAGACGTGTAGGTGGGGAGGGGTGTGAGTAGAGTTGGAAGAGAGGGACTAAGGGGGGATGTGATCAAAGCACACTGTCTCCGTGTTTAAAACTCTCACAGAACAAACTTTTTTTTAAACTTCTTTTTTCTATGCTTAAAAACGTGTTCTCCAAACCCAAATCCTCAACACTGCCTTGAATATCAACAATAATTGCTGGAAGTAAATCTTTAGTGGCTTGGTTTGGGGCCCGTTGATTTCTTGGTATTTATATAGTGAGAGCAGTGAGAGCAGGACTCAAAGCCTTAAGCTTTCTTTGGTATAAAACATCAATTTGTATTGATTCTCCAAACCCTTATAATTGCTTTTCTCCCGTTCAGAAAGGCTACAGATTTAAAATACTTTTTTCTAACCCTGATTTTTAACTTCTCATTATTGTTTTATCATGTTTGAATCTCGCAAAGAGAAATGAGTTCACAGTGAGCAATGACTTGAACTGCTGAGAGCTTAGAAAGGAGATAGGGAGCACTTTGCCTCAAACTGGAATTTAATCAGCAGCAGACAAAGTTAACTCTAAACAATGCTCACTACTAATGCATGAAATCACAGTCAATTCTTATTGCTCAAAGGTCAATTACTGGCTTTGTAGATTCTTCAGCCTTTCAGCTCTCTTATATATATTCAATGGCTGATTTACTTATTTATTTCTTGGCCACTTCAGTATTTACTGTTACTGCTCCACAGTGAAAACAAAGCTCCGAAAAACAGCCAGTTCCTTTGCTACACACTGGTATCTCTTATAAGATAGCTCACAAAGGTTAGGAGGCCATCTGTGGGCTACAATTATCTATTTGGCTATAAAGATCACTAAAATTAGTTGCATGATAGCAGCTTATCCAAAACCAAATTCTAGTTGGTCAAGCACAGACTTTATCTCCAATCTAGAAGTGGAAATTCAACTCAAGAATTCCTAATACTAAGACACACTGCAGTTTCTGCAAGGAAGTAATGAGCCATTAATCAGGTAGTGAGTAACACATCAGTGCAGCTTATGCTAGTCA